ACTTACGATGGTTTCGCTTGATGGTTTTTCTCGACTCTACGATTGCGTGGAAGCAGTACACATTCAGTAGAATTTGTGCTTGGGATTTTGAATTTGGATCTTCCCTCGAGCGGTGGCAGGCAGCAGGTGCTCTCCTGGCACTGGCTGACAGCAGTGCTAGTCAGCTCTGTGCTCACCGGGGGAACCTGGGGCGTGCTTCGGTGCGTGGTGCTGCTGAGTGCAGCTGCTCAGCAGGTGGTGGAGTCAGTGCATTCTCCACCTGAGATACCTGCAGCCTAGGACGGGTGTATCAGGATGTGCTTCCTGTCTCTCCTGGACTCGCGGGGTTTTCCCCACAGCAGTCCATTTTCCGCAGACACCTCCCCTAAGTTAACCCAGTTCTGGCACTGTGCCAAAGTTGCTGTATGGTAAGGGCTCAGTCCCACAACACTGCCTCCAGCTCTTCAGACTCGAATTGCAGTTGCCGGATCCCTGTGTTACACACAGCTTTCTGTCCATCGTGGCTGCAAATCAGTAGTTCCCAGGACCGCCTTCTTGGGTTTGAGAATTTGCCAGAGCAGCTCACAGAACTCCAGGAGAACACTTTACTGGTGAAGACGACTCAGGAGTAACAGCAAGGCAGAGACCCATAGGCATGCTGTGTGGGGAGGGCTGGTAGAGCCTCCGCAACCTCTCTCTGTGCACACCCTCCACCAGGGTCTCCGCAGCCTGGAAGCCCTCCCCACCACCAAACCTTGTGTGGGTTTTATGTAGGCTTTGTTGCCTGGCCATTAATGATTAATTCAGTGTTCAGCCCCCTCCCCCTCCCTGGAAGAAGTTCATATTTAATTCGTTACAAACTGTTGGGTCAAAGAGTATTGTACCTGTTACTTTACTGTATAAGGCTGAATTATTCTCAAGTACTTCTGGCTAATATTTGGTTTATATTTAAAATCTTTGCCAATCTTGTAGAGATATGTATAGTAGTACTTCCTAGCGGCTTAATTTCTCTGATTATTCATGAAGTTAAGTGCCTTGTTTTGTTTGTGGGCTATTTCCCCTTTATTGAAATGCCTATTTATGTAGTCTATCTTATTGCTTTGTAGAATTCATTTTTATTCTCTGTATGCTAGATACATATCAGTTTCACATATAGGCAAAACATGCATACTGAGGACTCTGCAAAAAGTTAATGGAAAAAATGAAATTAAAAGATAAGTTTGTCAGTCCAGTGCTGTGGCCCAGTGGGTTAAAGGCCCTGTCTGCAGCACTGGCATCCCATATGGGCACCGGTTCTAGTCCCAGCTGCTCCACTTCTGCTACAGCTCTCTACCGTGGCCTGGGAAAACAATAGAGGATGGCCCAAGTCTTTGGGCCCCTGCACCCACGTGGGAGACCAGAGGGAGCTCCTGGCTCCTGACTTTGGATTGGCACAGCTCTGGCCATTACGGCCATCTGGGGAGTGAACCAGCAGATGGAAGACCTTTTTCTCTTTCTCTCTGCCGCTCTGGAACTCTTTCATATAAATAAAAAATAAATCTTTTTTTTAAATGCTTGTTTTGTTGCAGAAGTTTTTTGAAATCCATGCATAGTGTTTTGTAGTACACATTTCCTTGAACTTTTTGATGGCTGAGTATAGCAAATGTCTTCTACATTGGCTTTTTTAAAATATTTATTTATTTATTTTAGGGTCAGAGTTACACAGAGAGGAGAGGCAGAGAGACAGAGACAGAGACAGAGAGAGAGAGAGGTCTTCCAACTGCTGTTTCACTACCCAGTTGGCTGCAATGGCTGGAGCTGAGCCGCTCTGAAGCCAGGAGCCAGGAGCTTCTTCTGGGTCCCCCATGTGAGTGCAGGGCTCCAATCTTCAATCTTGGCCCAGCCCTGGCTGTTGTGGGCATTTGCAGAGTGACCCAGTGGATGAAAGCTCTGTTTCTCTTTCTCTCTCCACACCATCCCCCAATAAATTTTTTAAATTAAGTCTTCAGTTATGATTTTTTAGTTGTCCTTCCCTCCTTCCCCGTAATACTTTTGTTGCTTCATAAGTGTTGGAGTTCCGGTATAAGGCAGTTACACATTTATGCTTATTATGGCTTCTTGAGGAATTAACCCATCAGTCATTGTGCAGTGTCCCCTTGTGTAAATCTCTGAGTGTGCCCCTTCCCTTGACGTTTGCATTGTTATTACTTTAGCCCACACCAGCTTTCTCATGCTTAGTATTTGTCACATCTTTAATCTCTGCATGTATTTGAAGTGAGTCCCTTATAGAGCAAATATAGTTGGATCTTGATTTTTTTAATCTAATCTGACAAATGCTGCCTTTTAATTTGAATCTAAAGATTTATTTATTTTAAAGGCAGAGAGAGAGAGGAGAGACAGAAATCTTCCATGCACTGGTTCGCTCCCCCGGACTGGGGCTGTAGCATGTCCGGGGCCAGGCTGAAGCCAGGAGCCAGGAGCTTTTCTGGGTCTCCCAAATAGATCCAGGGACCAAGCACTTGGGCCATCCTCTGTTGCTTTCCCAGGCCATTAGTAGGGAGCTGGAGCAGAAGTACAGCAGCCAGAACTCAAACCGGTGCCCATAAGGATACCAGTGTTGGAAGCAGCAGCTCATCCCACTATGCCACAGCGCCAGCCCCAGGCCATTTACATTTAACAGCATCATCAGTGTGGCTAGAAATAAAATTTAATATTCTATTTTAATTCCTTTTTGTTCTGGAAATTCTTATATATGTTCTTAACCTATCACAACCTACTTCCAATTACTATTGAGCCACTTTATGTAATAAGTAAGTCCTTTGACACATTTTCCCCTTCATATTTTGGATTATATTTTTTTAAGATTTTATTTATTTATTTGAGAGGTAGAGTTACAGACAGTGAAGGTTGAGACAGAGAGAAAGGTCTTCCTTCCACTGGTTTACTCCCCAAATGGCCACAATGGCCGGAGCTGCATCGATCCAAAGCCAGGATCCTGGAGCTTCTTCCAGGTCTCCCACGTGGGTGCAGGGGCCCAAGCACTTGGGCCATCTCCACTAATTTCCCAGGCCTCAGCAGAGAGCTGGATGGGAAAAGGAGTAGCCAGGACTCGAACCAGTGCCCATATGGGGTGCCCGCACCACAGGCAGAGGATGAACCTACTGTGCCATGGCGCCAGGCCTGGATTATTTTTGTCATATTTTACATCTGCATACACTGCAGACTCCAACACATAGTCATATAATTTTTTTTTGCTTTATTGACTTCTAAAAAATATTTTTTTGAGAGAGAGAGAGAGCAAGTGCTCCCCACCACTGGTTCACTCAATGAATGCCTACAGCGGCCCCGGCTGGGTCAGGGCCAACACCAGGATCTGGGAACACAATTGACATCTCCTGTATGTGTGGCAGGAGTCCACACCTGAGCCATCACCGCTGCCTCCCAGAGTCTGCATCGTGAGATGCTGGAGCCAGGAGCCCATGGCAGGTGTCAGACCCAGGCATTTTAATACAAGATGTGAGCAGCTTAATTGGTGTCTTATTTGCTAGCCAAATCTCGCCCCTTATTGACTTTTAATGAAATTAAGATATGGAATAGGTGTTTGGTCTAGTAGTTACAGTGCTGTTTGGGACACTCACATCATATACCAGAATACCTGGGTTCAGCCAGCGCTGTGGCTCACTAGCCTAATCCTCCGCCTGCAGTGCTGGCACCCTGGGTTCCAGTCCCGGTTGGGGCGCCGGTTTCTGTCCCGCTTGCTCCTCTTCCAGTCCAGCTCTCTGCTGTGGCCCAGGAGTACAGTGGAGGATGGCCCAGGTCCTTGGGCCCTGCACCCACATGGGAGACCAGGAGGAAGCACCTGGCTCCTGGCTTCGGATCAGCACAGCATGCCAGCCACAGCAGTCAATTTGGGGGGTGAACCAGTGGAAGGAAGACCTTTCTCTCTGTCTCTCTCTCTCTCCACACTGCCTGTCCAATAAAAAAAAAGTAACAACAGGAGTCACTGTACACTTACTCCCCATGCAGAACCTCTGTCCTCAATGAGTTGTACTATAAGAATTAAATGTAAAATTTGTTTTCAGTTTGTGTGTGTGTGTGTAGAAATTGTAGAAATCTGCTTAGTATAGAGTTGATCTTCTGTGTATAAAGTTAATTGAAAATGAATCTTAGTGGAGAATGGGAGAGGGAGGAGGAAGTGGGTTGGGAGGAATCACTATATTCCTAAAGTTGTACTTATGAAATTTGTACTCAATAATTAGAAAGTTCCTTTGGGGAAAAAAATCTCTTCTTCCAACTCCTTAAAAAATGATAAAATAAGCACTAGTGCACCCATAGTAATCCCAGTACTCCCAACCCTGAGAGTGCCTTGTAAACCAGGATTCAACAGTGAGGGCAGAATAGGAGGGTGCTGCTCCAAGTCCTCCAGGTCCTCTCCTCAACAGGGAGAAGGTCCATTCCTTACTACTGCCCATAGTGACACACTACAAGAACTGTGTGGGTTCCAGTGCTACCTGTGAGAGAGCGTGCACCCTGCCCTCTGCCATGTGAAGGAACAGTAAGCAGGCCCTCAGGCCCAGCCCAAATGTTGGACACCTTGGTCTTAGACACACTCAGCATCCAGAACTGCGAGAAATATGTTTTTGTTCCTTCAGAATTACTGAGTCTTAGTTACTTTGTTTTAGCAGCAGAAATAGACTAAGACAATAGTCAGTGTCAAACCTAAATGAAAATCTCTCAGCTCATACCTAAGGAATGCCAGCCTGTCAAGACTCAGGTTGATGACAACAGCTGGATAGATCCTGTCTTACAGAAAAGGTAAATTTTCAAATATCAGACCAAGAAAAGATAGTTACAGGCATAACACACTCAAAGTCTCTGGACCCAGAACCTCTTACTATGTCATTAAAATAGAAAGAGAACAAATCAGGATTCTACATTTGTTTCCTATTTTTCCCCTGATTTTATATGCCCCTTCCAAACTCCAAAGCAGCAGGTACAACCCAGCTGTTCCCAAGAAGCTTCCAGCATTGGGTCCTATCTGCACTATTGTTCCTTACCTGGAGATTCTTCATCCTCACTCCTGGGATCATAAATGCTTTTCATGAGCCAATGTCTAGAGACAAAGATACATGCCATAGGTTACCTGAGAGTGTGTCTTGTCCATTCCTCCCTCCATGGGCTCTGTGGACTAGGAGACCTTCGGCAAGCCATTGATCACAGCTTCAAGCCTTCAGGTGAGAAGAGGGGTTGAAGGCCCCACCACTAAACTTCACACCTTGTCCACTGGATGGTGAAGGCTCCAGCCTCCTATGTGATAAGCTCACGATTCCGACTATGGCGGACACTTTGAATAGTAGGATTTCAGCTAACAGACTCTGTGCAAGGCTGAGAGTGAGTATTCTGTGAGCAGCTGCCCAAGGCTGAGCTTGTGTATGAGAAGAAATGAAGAGGACACAGTCTGCCCTGACAGTGACCAGCTGTGGTCAGGATTCCTGTGTCTATCAGTGCAAGACTTTGGGCCCAGGAATTTCAAGACCCTTTGGAAAAACCACAAAATGAAGGTCCTTGGTTCATATGAGGAGGTTAGCAAGGATACCTGGAGGGAGCCCAAACACCACCCCCCCACCTTGTGTTCTGCAACTGCAATGGCCCTGTGCTATGACACTCACTTCAATTTAAACATGTCTCTGGCCAGAAGACCCTTGGCCAATACTATGCAAAAGGACAAGTTGTCAGGTGACCTCCAGAAGCAGGTGATAAATGAATACTGGCCCCTTTTTGGCTCCAGGGGTCAGCTGGGGAACTTTCCTAGGTCTGCCCTCAACCAAAATCTGTCTCAGTGCTGATTCACATCCTGCCAGTGTGAGGAAGAGAAGTAGGCACCTGACTACTGCTGTTTGTCCCTCGTCTCCCTCATCAAGCTCTGTTAGTGTAATTGTCGTCATTCCACAGCCAGCTGGAGAATATGTGGAGAGAGGAGAAAGCTCCTTCCAGGATATTAGGAAGTTCTCGTGCCCAGGCACAAAGGATCCATCCTGCTCATTTCCACTCAGAAGGGGGCCTGGATGTCCTTGCCTGGGTCCAAGTGATGATTGATTCTCCTGACCTTGCTGCCTTGAGGTCCATCCCCATTTCTCATGGTCTCGGTATCCTTGTGTCTTCATTCTGCCTCTAAATATTTGCTCTTTTTTTAAAGGATTTTTTAATTTATTTGAAAGAGTTACAGATAGAAGTAGAGACAGAGCGAGAAGTCTTCCATCTGCTGGTTCACTCCCCAGTTGGCCACAATGACTGGAGCTGCGCCAATCTGAAGCTAAGAGCCAGGAGCTTCTTCCAGGTCTCCCAGGGGCCCAAGGACTTGGGCCATCTTTTAATGCTTTCCCAGGCCATGGCAGAGAGCTGGGTGGGAAGTAGAGCAGCTGGGTCTTGAACTGGCACTCATATGGGATGCCGGCGCTTCAAGCCAGGGTGTTGACCTACTGTGCCATAGCACCAGCCCCAAATCTTTCCTCTCTTAAGGTCTCTCAACTCAAGACTCCAGCTACCAGCCTCTGCTGCAGAATGCTAAGAACCACGACCATGCCTGCACAGCCCATCGCATCATCTTCCTCCCCTTTCGCTCGACACAGCCCTGATCAACAACTCTCTCAACCTCCAGCTCAAGTGGAAGAGACTTAAGGTCCAACTCAAGGCTCTGCCCTGCTTTCTCTCATACAGCACTTTGGGAAGCTGTTCCAGAATTCTTAGAGCCTCGATTTTTATCTTCAGCACTTTGAGCAAGGTGGGGGGCCTTTGAGAAGCATTGGAAAGCTAGGATCTAGAGATGAATGATTTCTAGGTCAGTTTTTTGAGGTAAACAAATGACCATTTTCAGTGAAACAGTCTCATTGTTCTGTTTTCTGGGAAAATATTGACAACTATGGATAATCAAATTCTACTAAAAGGCAATATTATATATAGAAATGCTTCTTAGAAACTTGTGTATTTTAAAGGCAGAGAGAGACAGAAATCTTCCATGTAACAGCCAGGGCTGGGTCTGGCAGAAGCCAAGAGCCAGTTACTTAATCTGGGTCTCTTACATGGTGCAGAAACCCACATACTTAACCCATCACCACTGTCCCCCAGAGTGTGCCTTAGCAGGTAGCTGGAATCGAAAGCAAGAGCCGGAACCCAACCCACCCTGGGCGCTGCAGTATGGGATGTGGCATCCCAGGTAGTGTTACCTGCCAGATGCCTGCCACTCCAATAGGAATCATAGACTGCAGTTTGGCTCATTTTATATTTGTGTTAGAACAAACACCTTGTTTTCTTGCAAAGCTCTTCAGAAGCAGCCAACCCTGTTTCAGTCTGGAGGTGCAGTAGGACATGATGGAGGTTGTTCAGCCTCACGGCTGAGTTTACCTTTCCCCATCTTTCAGTGAGTGTCCAACCCTCTGTCCTTCCAGGAAGGGAGCCACGTGTCCAGCCTGATGCACAGTCCCCTAACTAAGCCTCTAGTTACTCCTCACAGAAACCACAACTAGGCTAAGTGAGGGAAGGCCAGTTTGTCACTGGAGCATGGTATTTCCTGTTCTTGGAAGCATTATCTGAGGGTCAAGACTAGACCTCTGTGGAGAGGGAGTGAATTTTCCCCATCTCAGCCTGGAGGCTCCTCCTTTCTCAGATTCCTCCCAGAACTGGGGTCTTAACTGCAGAAGCAAGGAACCCTGCCCAGCTGTCCAAGCTGTAGCATGGCTGGGAAGATTAGTTCTGAGACCTCTGGCACAGGAGAATGGTTAATGGAGGTTAGGGAATGTGCATCAGTGTCCAGTACTGAGGGAGAAAGGGATCTGGCATTCCCGCCATCTCAGCCCCCACAGTCACTCCACACAAAGAGGCAAGAACAAGGGTTTCTATCACAATTGAGTCAAACTCATAGTCTAAGGTCAGAGTCTGTCCTGGGCAGAACAGGTGTGAGGGGGAGTCCATGGACTTGACCTGAACTACAGCTCCCAGTTGTCAGGCTGAGCATTGGCAGGCTCACCAGCAGTGGCTCCATGTACAGTGTCGCACAAAGCAGCTGGGGCCTTTGAAGACCGGGAATAGGGTACTGAAGAGGGGGCTCTCTTCCCAGTCCACTGGTGTGGCTGCCACCAAACTGGGCACAATGGCACTGAGGATGGGTGGGCTGACAGAGAAGCCGTGGTTGGGGTCTGGAGTGTACTCGGTCCACGTGAGCAAGGCTCACTCAAACTGGATGGAGATCGTGGTGACTGAGCTGGCGGGCAGCTGAATGAGCATCTCCAGGAGGTGGGGCTGCAGGCAGTCCTGGGCAGGCTGGTAGTGGATGTAACTTGGTTTCTTCTCCTTGCCCTTGGATGTGATGGTGAGCGTGTGCACGTAGAGCCGCAGGTACCAGGGCACAGTGTCCAGCAGCAGCACGGGGAAGGCGCGGTATGGGTGGGTGTTGTACAGCAGGGTACTCAGCTGCCCCTTCTGCAGCCCGTAGCCACTCACATAGTGCTGGGCGTGCAGGAAGGGCACCGGTGGGGCCTTGCTCTCTGGGGTCTCTTCCACTTGAGCTGGAGGTTGAGAGAGTTGTTGATCAGGGCTGTGTCGAGCGAAAGGGGAGGAAGATGATGCGATGGGCTGTGCAGGCATGGTCGTGGTTCTTAGCATTCTGCAGCAGAGGCTGGTAACTGGATGGCCAGTAGAACATTCACTGGGTGGTATCGGTGTGGATATGGCCAAAAAAGAGCTCCTCCACCAGATGGTCCAGGTTGTGGCACAGGTACTGCTTCTCCACCCAGACCAGCTGCAGCTCATGCATGTGAAGTTCACGGCTTTGGTGTACTCGCAGCCATTCTCCTCCCACCACAGGTCATAAGCCACGTCGTGCACCCAGGGGGTCCCCACGGCCAGGAAGCCCGGGCACCAGTGGTTCATGCGCTGGCTGAGCTGCTCAGTGACCACCTCTGAATGGCAGATGACCTGCCCGCTGTGCAGCTGGCAGTCAGCTTCCATGCCACCACGGATGATCCAGGAGGCCTGGCAGAGGCGGATCTTGCCTTGGATGATGAGAGTGTAGGTGGGGTTTGTTGCATTGGTTGCTGCCATAATAAAACTGGTAGGCCTGAAAGGTGTTGTGGTAGAATCTGGAAGACTGGGTGAGGAACTCTGGACCTGATCTGACTTCGGGTCTGACTCCACCTGGCCCATGGAGACCCAGTGGCCCTCAATGGTGGGTGGCATCTGCATGGTGATGTGCACGCCATTGTGCAGATGTTTCAGCATGTGATGGCACTGGGATTCCTTGAAAGCCCTCCAGGCACTCTTGTCCAAGGACCTAGGACGGGTCCTGCTGTCTAGATGAGAGAGAGAGCAGAACCCTCTCCCAGCCTGTGCAGCAGGAGGGCCAGGAACAGGTATCTGAACAGGAGGCGACACGTCCAGGACATCTCCAGTGCTCCTCGGGGCGCGCCTGCTCGCCATGCTCCAAACCAGTGCTTGCACAGCCCCGCAACTCGGCGCGAACCGCCCTCCGCCTCCAGCCGGGTCCAGCGAGTGCTCAGGCATGGGGCGCGTTCCGACACCACTCCTTGGCTGCAGCCTGCGGGCGGCCGGAATAGACCCCAGCCTCAGGCGGCTGCAGAGCACCCCATACCCGGTGGGCACAGTGCAGTGGTGCGAGGCACGCACTTGCTCAGCACTGTCAGGCCACGGTCCGTGGCCGGCCCGCGTCCACATCATGGCCTCTTGGCGAGCCGCCCCGGCCTCTCCTCGCCCGGCCCTGTGTTCCCCACTTTGTTCGGCAGTGGAGAGAGGGGCCCGGAGCTGCAGCCCTCCCCTTCCCCCACCTGTGGCCCCCGCCCAGGCTGCCAGCCCTGGCACTTACTGCCATCATCCTCCGGGTCCATGCCGCCGCTCGACCCAGCTGGTGGCAGCTGTTGGCCCCATGCTGAGGCCACTGCTGGCCCGGGGCCACCCCTACCACTGCCACTCCAGCTCCTGTGGTCCCCACTGGGCTCCATGCATGGTGATCCTCCTGCACAGTGTTGTGTGGGGACTCTGCCTGGCCCCAGCCGCCTGGCCCCAAGGGCAGCAGCACCAGCAGAGAAAGTGGCATAGCTGCTGCCATGCCAGTGGCTGCTCCCACATAGGTCATCTCATTTCTCCTCCCTCCTCCCAAGCAATCGCAAGGGTCCAGATCATGTAGCTCCCTTCATGGCTCTACACAGGGGGAGGCCACCTCTGCCCCCGGGAGGTATGGGGGGGTGGGGTTCCAGTCCTTCTGGGGCAGATGGGCTAGGTAGAATGACTTTTACTTTCGTTTTTGCTTCCTGATTACTCTTAGCCCATTCTCTTTCCCTGCCATCTTCCTCTGAGTCTTTGGGCTCTCCCAAGTCCTGTAAGGCCTTTAAGGTCTTGTCCTCTTTGGACAAAACTGCATTACCCATACTGAGGGTTTCACTTACCCTGAGAGACTGCTTAGCCTCAGCCGAAAAGTTACGGTTCGAGCCCCACGTTGGGCGCCAGATGCAGGGTCTTAGTTCACCCGAACAAGGATGGACTGGGTCTGAGGAAAGGTAAGTGCGCCGCTTGCCCGTTCCACAGCCTTCTGATCCCGGAGACAATCAGATGAAGAGGGGCGTCAAGTCAAGCAAGAACTCGTTTATTGCACGCATAACAAAGCCTTTTAAAGCACAAAACTGCAGAGTCTTTGGGGCAGGGCATAAGGACCAACCAATCACTTAAAAGGTCAGTTTATGGGGCAGTTTTTTATAGGACTAGCCATATGTCTATACAATCGTCATCAGTTGTCATCACTTCCCCTGATGTTGTGTAGCCAATTAGCTTTGGGTTCCACCCACCTTACTTCCTTTGGGCACCATCTTTGAATTTCCTCATGTGCCTAATTACCCGCACATATACAGAACTCTTCCATCTACTGGTTCCCTCTCTAGATGCCCACAAAGGCCAGGGCTGGACCAAGCAAAGCTGGCAGCCAGGAACTCAATGCAGGCCTCCCATATGGGTGGTAGGCACCCAACTACTTGAGCCATTTAACCTGCTGACTCTCAGGTGTGCATTAGCAAGAATGCTGGAATTAGAAGCAGAGCTGAGACTCAAAACCAAGTGCTCTGATACGTGAGGCAGTGATTCCAAGAGACATCCTAACTGCTATGCCAAACACCTGTCCCTAAATTTATCTCTTTTTTTAAAGATTTATTTACTTGAAAGAGTTACAGAGAGGCAGAGAGAGAGAAAAGTCTCCCATCTGTTTGTTCACTCCCCATTTGGCCACAATGGCCTGTGCTATGCCGATCAGAAGCCAGGAGCCAGGAGCTTCCTCTGGATCTCCCATGTTGGTGCAGGGTCTCAAGGACTTGGGCCATCTTCCACTGCTTTCCCAGGCCACAGCAGAGAGCTGGATCAGAAGTGTAGCAGCCTGGACTTGAATTGGTGGCCATATGGGATGGCAGCACTGCAGGTGGACACTTTACCCGCTACGCCACAGCACTGGTCCCCGCATTGATATCTGAGGTTGATAACACACCCTGTTATCAACCAGTTTTGTCATCTACCTGTTCCTCAGCCCCTACCTTCAACTCCTGACTTGCAGCCCAACCTCTCTTTTGCACTTCTTAAGACCTCCAGACCACCCCATGGAGGATACTGCTACCCTCCTCATCCACTGGTAGATAATTAAACTTGCTCTTTCTTTCATCCTCCAGCTTTGTCCTCGTTAATCCGGCACTGTTGATGAGGACTTAGATTTCAGTAACACTTCCACTAATGAGAGTCCATACTCCACATGTTTAGACTTCTCTCAGCCAGACAGGACAGACCTGATGTCAAAGCTCACACATGAGGAAGAACAGGGAAAGAACACTCAAGGCTGCCTGGTGCCCAGGCTTTAATTCTAGGATGCCACTTATTCCTATTTTTCAAAAATGGAACTCTTCCTGGTACATCTCTTCCCTTTTGTTCAGGAAAAGGGATGATAAGAGACCACCTGCTGGTGAAACAAGCAAACCTAAATTTTCATTATTTAAAACAAAAAAGACAAATAGAGTTCCAGGATGTGGGCCAATGTAGGAAACATGGGGCTTGGCACTCACAGCTTCATAACAAGAGAAAAGCTTAACAAACTGAAAATTAACTTTTCTTGGATACACGAGAGATGAGGTCACAGACAAAACATTCCTCCGAAAACGGATGTGACTGGCAGATCAAAGAATCACAGGTTTCCCCAGACAGAGGCCCCTGCTGGAGGTAGAACGTGGGTGGGAAATCACAAGTGGTAATAGGTGTATCCTGGGGGTCAATGTGGACTAGCTTAAGTGTTGAAAACTCCTGGGGCTGGCATTGTGTGTAGTGGGTAAAGCTGCTGCCTGCGATACCAGCATCCCATATGGGCACCGCTTTAAGTCCCAGCTGCTCCACTTCTTCTCCAGCTCTCTGCTAGTGTGCCTGGGAAGGCAGCAGAGGATGGCCCAAGTCTTTGGGCTCCTGTGCACACCCACATGGGAGACCCAGAAGAAACTCCTGGCTCCTGGCTTCAGATTGGCCTAGTTCCAGCCGTTGTGGCCATTTGGGGAGTGAACCAGTGGATGGAAGACCTCTCTCTCTCTCTCTCTCTGTCACTCTCTCTAACTCTGCCTTTCAAATCAATAAATTGCATGTGCAAAGGAAGTAAAATCACCCCTAGATGAAGTATTTGCAGTCCCAGGTTCATTGACATGTTAGTCACCATTGCCCAGCCAGAACAATTAGAGAAGAAAAAGAAACTAAAGGACCCCAGCTGGAAAGGAAGATGTGAAATTATGTTTGCATTAGGTGTGATCATATATGCATAAATTTTTAAAATGAATGATCTACTTGCCTATTTGAAAAAGAGAGAGAAAGAGAGAGGGAGAGTGAGAGAGAATCTTCCATCTGCTGGTTCACTCCCCAAATGTCTACAACAGCCAGATCTAGGCCAGGCCAAAGCCAAGGACCAGGAACTCCATCTAGATCTCCCACATGGCTGCAGGGGCCCAAGCACTTGGACCATCTTCCACTGCTTTCCCAAGACCCTTATTAGCAGGAAGCTGGATTGGAAGTGGAGCAGCTGGGATTCCAACCAGTGCTCTTAACCCACTTTATCCACTGCACACAACACCTGCTACACAAAAAACTGTGAAGCCTCAACAAAAGTACTGTTAGAACTAGATAGGCTCAGGGCCAGCGCTGTGGCGCAGTGGGTTAAAGCCCTGGCCTGCAGTTCTGGCATCCCATATGGGTGCTGGTTCTAGTCCTGGCTGCTGCTCTTCCAATCCAGCTCTCTGCTGTGGCCTGGGAAAGCATAGAGGATGGCCCAAGTGCCTGGGTCCCTGCACCCATATGGGAGACCCAGGAGAAGCTCCTGGCTCCTGGCTTTGGATCAGTGCAGCTCTAAACATTGTGGCCATCTGGGGAGTGAACCAGCAGGTGGAAGACCTCTATCTCTACCTCTCTCTAACTCTGTCTTAAAAATAAATAAATCTTAAAAAAAGAACTAGATAGGTTCAGTAATATTGGAGGGCACAAAGTCAACATATGAAAAGCAATCATGGGGACAGCACCATGGCTCAGTGGGTAAAGCAGATGCCTGCAGTGTGGCATGCCCTATGGGCACTTTTTTTTGAGTCCTGGCTGCTCCACTTCTGATTCAGCTTCCTGATAATGTGCCTGGGAAAGCAGTTGAGGATTACCCAAGTGTTTGATCCCCATACCCACCTGGGTAACCTGAAGGAAGCCTGGCTCCTGGCTGCCCAGCTCCAGCCATTGTGGCCATTTGAGGGGTGAACCAGTAGATAGAAGATCTCTCTATCTCTGTCTCTTTTTCTCTCTCTGTAACTCTGCCCTTCAAATAAATAAATATGAAAAAAGCTATCATATTTATACACACAACAATGAACTGTCCAAAAAGTAAATTAAGAGAATCTCACTCAAAAGTGTCATTGAAAAGAATAAAATTCTTTTTTTAAGATTTCCTTATTTATTTTAAAGTCAGAGTTACAGAGAGAAGGAGAGGCAGAGAGAGAGAGAGAGAGAGAGAGAGAGATGTCTTCCACCCACTGGTTCAAGCCCCAGATGACTCCAATGGCCAGAGATGTGCCAATTCGAAACCAGGAGCCAGGGAGCTTCTTCCAGATCTCCTACATGGGTGTAGGGGCCGCAGGACTTGGGCCATCTCCTGCTGCTTTCCCAGCAGAAAGCTGGCTCAGAAGTGGAGGCAGCCAGGACTCGAACCGGCATCCATATGGGATGCCCGCACTGCAGGCAGTAGCTTTACCCACCATGCCACAGCACCAGCCCCAAATAAAATTCTTAAGAATAAGCTTAACCACAGAGATGAAGAGTTTCACATGGATAACTACAAGTCAGAAACAAAAGAAAGAAGATCTAAGCAGAAAGAAAATAACCCCAAGATCAAGGATTGAAAGGCTATTAAGGGGACACTATTACCTGTTCCTAACTCCCCAGCACTTGTGAAGGTGGCATCATTTGGAAATAGTCTTTGGCATATAATTAAGATCAGGTCATAGTTGATTGTGATGGCCCATAATATGATAGGACTGGTGTCTTTCTTTTTTGACAGGCAGAGTTAGTGAAAGAGACAGAGAGAAAGGTCTTCCATCCATTGGTCCACCCCCCAAATGGCCTCTATGGCCAGCATGCTGTGCCAATCCAAAGCCAGGAGCCAGGTGCTTCCCCTGGTCTCCCATGTGGGTGCAGGGCCCAAGCACTTGGGCCATCCTCCACTGTGTTCCCGGGCCACAGCAGAGAGCTGGACTGGAAGAAGAGCTCCCCGGACAGAACCAGTGCCCCAACCGGGACTAGAACCCAGAGTACTGGTGCCGCAGGTGGAGGATTAGCCTAGTGAGCTGCAGTGCCGGCCTGGACTGGTGCCTTTTAATAAATTTATTTATTTAAGGAATTTATTTGAAGGAGAGAGAGAGAGAGAAATAGAATGGAGGGAGAGGGAGAGAGAAAGGGAGGGGGGAGGCAGAGGGAGCTCTCCCCACCATGGTTCCCCCCTCAGATGCCCACAGTGCTGAGGCTGGACCAGGCTGAAGTCAGGAACCAGGAGCTCCATCCAGGTCTTCCACAGGGGCAGCAGGGACGGAAGCACTCGAGCCATCGCCTGCTCCCTTCCTAGGCGTGCGTATGCAGAAAGCTGGGTTGGAGGCAGAGGGGAAACTCGAACCCGTGCACTCTGAGGGGATGTGGGTGACCCGAGGTGGGGACTCAGCCCCTGCACCCCACACCCACCCATCCAAGCGCGAGTTCAGAACACACGTGTCCCCTCGGCTTTGGGGAGCACACCTGCATTTTCCAGGGTCGGCCCTGTGTCTCAGATTCAGTCTCTGGCTTTGAATTTGGACCTCTTCCTTGGAGTTTCTCCTCAAGCCCTGAGCCAGGGACTTTACCTCCTGGGAGGGCAGGCGACACCTGCACAGCAGGTGCGTGGAGGGCAACATTCTTTTTCCACCACGATGCCAGAAAAAGCCCCTCTGCTGTTTCCGGTGAGCGCGAGAGCCCGCACTGCTGAGGGTGTCCTCTGTCTGCTTCCCTCTCAGAGAAGCCACATTAGTCTTCTGCCCATGGCTGCTTTGGAGCCAGAGTCCTTCACGTCCTGGCCATCACCACTGCTGCAGGGGTCTTCCTGCCTCTCACTCCACCATGGATTCCCAAGGCCATGCTCCTCATTGGAAATCATGGAAAAGGAAGTTTTATTAACCATGTATTTATTTATTATTTGAAAGGCAGAGACAGAAATAGAGATAGAGAGAGAGAGGTCTTCCATCTGCTGGTGCACTCCCCAAATGGCCGCAAACTGCCGGGACTGGGCTGGCCCAAAGCCAGGAGCCCATAGCTTCTTCCAGGTCTCCCATGTGGATGCAGGGGCCCCAGGACTTGAGCCATCCTCTGCTGCTTTCCCAGGCACATTAGTAGGGAGCTGGATCAGAAGAGGAGCAGCTGGGTTTCAGGCCAGCACCCGTAGGGGATCTGGCCCTGCAGGCAGAGGCTTAACCTACTATGCCACAGTGCTGGCCCTGGAAAAAGTGTCTTGTAACCACATCCTAGTGTTTTGATAACTGGGCACTCAGGCAAATTGGCCATCACCAGGGCTCAGGGCTCAGGTCCTCATGTATCTGCCTCCCTGTTTCCTTATTATCATGTTACAATGGTTTATTTGACAGGGAAAGGGGTAAGAACTGGAGAGGACATATCTTCTATGTGCTGGTTTGTTCCCCAAATGGCTGCAACAGCCAGGGCTGGACCAGGTCAAAGCCAGGAGGCGGGACTCCATCCAGATCTCCCACGTGGCTGGCAGGGACCCAAGTACCTGTGCCATCATCTGCTGCCTCCCAGTAAAGCTGGATTGGAATCACAGAGCGGCCAGGACTTGAACCAGGCACTCAGACATGGAATGTGACATCCCAAGCGACAGCTTAGCCTGCTGTGCCAGTTTTGGGGTGACACAGTTCAGTCCTAAGAGGACCCAGGGGAACCTGCTCTGTGGGCTGGAGAGTGGGCAGGGCTAGGAGTCTGGGTTCCCCTGGGGTCTCCTTCCCAAGACTCCAGTCACTCTACTTCAATATTAGGAGGGCCAGGAGCTGGGCTGAAGGCACGCCTAGGGTGAGGAAGGGATCAGAACACCCTATACTCTCCAGGGCCTGTGAAGTAAATGCACCGAACCGCTGGTCCAAGTGAGAGAGGAAAAAAATGCATTTACTCTTCTGCACGGGAGGTGGCAGGACCTGCAGATACTTCCTGGAAAGGGCTGTTTCTGGCTTTGTGGCCCAAGGGTCTCTGCCACTACTCAACTGTGGTCCTTGGAGCAAGAAAAGAAGCCACAGACAGGGGCCTGGTGCTGGGGCCCGGTGGGGGAGGCTGCCACCTGTGGTGCCTGATCCCATATGGCACAGGGTTTGTAGTGTCCAGCTGCTCCTCTTCCAATCCAGCCTCCCTGCTGTGGCCTGGGAAAGCAGCAGAAGATGGCCCCCAAGTCCTTGGACCCCTCCACCCACATGGGAGACTGGTGATGGAGTCTTGGCTCCTGGCTTCCGGGGCTGTTGGGTCTTAGGGGAGTGAACCAATAGATGGCGGATGCTCTCTGCTCTCTCTCTCTCCTCTCTTCTCTCTCTCTTCCCTCTCTCTCTCTTTCTCTCTCTCAACTCTGCCTTTTCAAAATCAATAAATACATAAAATCTTAAAAGGTCACAGACAACAGGTGTGTCATGAGCAGGTGCTGTCAGCAGCCTAGGCTGTGTCTTCTCTTTCCAGTCGCTGGGCATTAAAGTGGGACAGGAAAAGTATTTCTGAGGGCCCCAGTTCACCTCTGAGGGGGAAGCTGAGGTCACTCCCAGGAGGGACCCGAGACCCACAGGCTGCCGTCCGGGGCCCCGGCCTGGAGTCTCCAGCAGGTGCTTCCTCCCTGCAGGCTGCCCCGGAGCAAGACAGAGCCACAAAGGGCTGTTCCTGTAATGACGCTGCTAAACCACTGAAAGCCTGGGATGGTAGTGACCAGGGACCGGGGCGGTGTAGGGTCCCACCCCCTCTGGAGCAGGGAGGGAGCTGCCTGGCTCAGAGTGAAGACCCCAGGAGTGGTAGGTCATGGGAGATTGCTGTGTGGCTAGGAACCATGTCCGGATTCCACTTTGGCTCCTGCACTGTGCCCAGTGCGCAGGTGAGGGAACTGGGAACCCCCGGAGCCACGCCCCACTGCCCCCTGCGCGCCTCTTGCCCTGCCCCATATGCTGAATTTGGCCCCTAGGGGTGGCCCTCAGCCGGCCTTGCACCAGCTGCCAACCGCATCTTCGGCCCTGGGACCACGGTCCGTCTCACCTGCACCCTGAGCCGCGACCAGCGTGGGACTACACAGCATCTACTGGTATCAGCAGAGGCCAGGCCACCCCCCATTCCTGCTGCAGTACTTCTCGCACTCCAACCAGCGCCACGGCCCCAGGATCCCCCTGGCTTCTCTGGATCCAAGGACGTGGCCCGAACAGCGGCTACCTGATTATCTCGGAGCTGCGGCCGGAGGATGAGGCTGTGTATTCTTGCGCCATGGGCAGCCTGAGGAGGAGATGGAGAGAGAGGAGGGAGAAGAG